TAGCTGAGAAAATTGTCAACAAGTTTAAAAAATGATAAAAAGTTCCTAATAGAAATGTTATTTTCCAACCAACATTCTGACTTTTCATACGATGTTAGAATTGTTTCTGCTCCTTCTTTTGGATTTCAGGGTGGATGCGTTTTACTGTCATTTTGTGTTTTTCCAAACTTTAAGCACTTTTCAGATTTTATTGCTAACACCTCAAATGGCATATCGGCTTTCTGTGTGTTTCTCTCGCCATTTAACATTTAAATTAAAAAGCATGTTAAGTAATCGCAATTTTAAATGAAATTAAATGGAATTTCAACTTTAAGTGGAATCAAATCTTCATTCCAAATTAAGTGAAATTTCCAATTATCTTAATTAAGATTTAATTACATAAATATTTAAATTACATTAAAAATTTAAGCTTAAATCCAAAATCACCTTAAAAAGATAAAAATAACCTGAAAAAATTAACTCATCACATAGAAAATGCAAAAGTTGTATTTGCTGAGAAGAGACAATTGCGATGGGCCAATGTATTACAAGTTTATTGAAATACCAAACATAAAAGGATTAAACTGTTTAAAGTGTGTGGCTGTTCATATTATTTTGCTATAGTAGGTCATAGGATTAGTACTTCTATTATTCCTTGACCATAAATCAGAAAATGTGAAGGAAGAATATTATTTTTTTTTATCCTCACCCGAGGACATTTTTTTTTTTTTTCATTCAGATAGACTGGGGAGGGAGGGAGGGAGAGAGAGAGAGAGAGAAACATCGACGTGAAAGGGACACATCGAGTGGCTGCCACCCGCACGACCCAACCAGGGCCGGGGACAAACTGCAACCGAGGTACATGCCCTTAGCGGGAACCGAACCCGGGTCTCTCTGGACCGCAGAGCGACACTCTAACCGCTGAGCCAAACCGGCCAGAGCTGAAGGAAGAATATTAAAAGTAGACTAAAAAAATCCTAAAATTGCTAAAAATCTGACAAAACAGAAATTATGTTAAAATGAGTTTAGAAATCAGTAGAAACTGAAAAAAATTTTATGCTGACATTTCTGTTTTGCTAAAAACTGTTTTATTAGCAGAAATCAAAATTTAACCTTCCTTTTGAGCTCTTAAAATATTCCTGCTTGGTTTTCAGTTTTCTCACAATTCAAGCTCTAAAAACCATTTCGATTAGACCAGTAAATTTGATAAATAGAACAAATTGACATTTAGGAAGTTGAATTTTGCTGAATTAATTTTAAGGATGTTAGCCTACTGCCAGATGCTAACTTCTTTAAGCGTCAGCTTCTGTATTTATAACATGAGAATGACGATAACATCACCTTCTTCCCTTCTTCTCGCCTCATCTATATTCCTCTTGTACCATATATGGATTTTCCTTAAAGTATCTTGTTTCATTTCTGTAAATATTCTCAGGGATAGACACATGGTCGAATATTAACAACTTAATAATATTAATAACTGCGCATATAACATGTCAGACATTTCAAAAATGCTTTACCTAATTATCGCATTTAATCTTGACCTAAAGGCACTAGTAAAGGGATGTTATCTTCTCACTACATATGAGGAAACAGTTGCTCAAAAAGTGACTTATGAAAAAGAGGCTCAGATAACAAATAAAGGAGCTAAACTTCAAACCCATGATATTTTCTGGTTCATTTTTTTTTTTTCCTCATAGGACTAAATATACTTTCAAATGTAAGGCCCTCTCAAGAGGCATATGGATGTAGATATTTCCGTTTATCTGGGCTGAGAAGGATGAGAAGGGGGAAGGTGGGACGAGCAACGTAACTGAACAAATGACTAATTACAAGGGAAAAGGGGATGAAACGACACCTACAAGTGAAGACAACTACCGGGATGTACTTATGTTTTGACTCATAGTAGGACGGTGTGTGTTACTCTGAATTCAGGAGAACTTCTGGGACATTAGTCCTCATTGCTTCTTCTCATTAGCTTCTGTGGAATTATGTAAAAAAGATTTGTTGAAGATGTGCAATGAGCTAGGGTCACAGACATTTCCTGTTGTTGTTGTTGTTGTTCTTCTTCTTCTTCTTCTTCTTCTTCCCTTCTTCTTCTTCTTCTTCTTCTCCTTCTCCTTCTCCTTCTCCCCTTCCTCTCCTCCTCCCCCTTCCTCTCCTCCTCCTCCCTTCCTCTCCCTTCTCCTTCTCCCTCCTTTACCTCCTCCCCCTACTCCTCTTTCTCCTCCTCCAGGTAGTTCTTGATGTCTTTGCCATCTGCAGTTTACAGCTATAAGAGTGGTAAACTTACACACTTTCAGAAATTAACAAAGAACACTGGCTTTTCTAGGCTGAAAGCCTCATCTGATGTAAAATATTAGCTTGCCCATTGAGAAAGACTTGTTTATTCATCTATCCCTTAAACATTTAATGTACCCTTAGTATGTTTCAGACACTGCTAGGCATTAGAGCTAAGCTATAAGGAAGAAAATAATATTGTGCCTGCCTTTTGGGCTCAATAATCTAATAGGAGAGACAAATGGAAATCACGATGCAATCAGATAAGTGCAACCTAAGAGATACAAGGTAATGATAATTTCCCACATTTATTGAGAGCTTAATTTGTGCTAGACATTGCCCCAGAATTTTATATCTATCATGTCACTGTAGTGTTAGAAAATCCTGTGGGATAGTTACTCTTACAAATTTTATATAATTTATTAAGGTCACAGAGGTAGCAAAGAGATAAACCTATATTTGAACCTAGATAATCTATTACAAAAGTCGATGTACATGAAACACTGTGCAATTCTACATCTTTCTGGTAGTAGTATGGGACAAATAGGCTCCAACAGAAACATAAAACACATTGCATTCAGGTTATAATGAAGGCTGGAGACTAAAACAAATTTCTGGCTTTAGGAAAAGCAATACACAATTAAATAAACATGTTTCCACTGAGACAATCACAAACTACGTAAAGGACAGTCTGCTGGTTAGAATCTGGGCTCATCTACTTACTGGTGCCTGTGCAACCTAGAACAGGTTACTTACCCACGGAACCTTAGTTTCCTTATCTGTGAAATGGAATAATGTTAGCATAAAGCTCCTAGGTTTGTGACGAAAGTCACATGAGATATTATTGGCAAAGTATTTATTTAGCAAGGTGCTTAGAGACCGGTGGAGAGTGACCAACAAATACTAGCTCTTAATAAAGTCAATCAAGAAATTTATAAATTATTTCTTGGCAGCATAGAAACGAGCACTGTATGTGTTCTCCCTGTGTTTTGAGAGGAAAATAAAGTGTGGGAGTGGTGAAGTAACTTGCAAGGTGGCTAGGGTAACAAGAAAGAAAGAAAGAAAGAAAGAAAGAAAGAAAGAAAGAAAGAAAGAAAGAAAGAAAGAAAGAAAGAAAGAAAGAGAAAGAAAGAAAGGAAGGAAGGAAGGAAGGAAGGAAGGAAGGAAGGAAGGAAGGAAGGAAGGAAGGAAGAAAGGAAGGCAGGCCAAAGGGGGAAATGGTTCTAAGCTGAAGTCTAACCTGAATAAGTGAAATTTCAAAATTGAAGAAACTTTCTAATGTGGACTGACTTAAACATCACTTAAAGGGTCAGGGCCTAACTGATCATTTCTGAAATGGCAGCATGTGGAGCTCAGAGAACCCCAAAAAGGATAAACAAAAAGATCTGCATTTAGGTAGATAGCACAGTCAAATGGAGGAAAGCCAAAGACAAAAAGAAAAACTTGAAAGCAGCAAGAGAAAGAAGACAACATGTACAGGGGAGTAACAATTATGTAAGTAAGTGCTTGCAGCTCATCAGAAACAATGAAACCAGAAAACAACGGAATAACATATTCAAAGTGCATAAGGAAGTAAACACCTGCCAACCACGGGTTGTAAAAGTGAAGGCACAATAAAGACCTTTTGCAATAAACAAAGACTGAGAGAATTCCTTGTGAGGCACTTGACATGTACTATCGAGCTAATCCTGGCAAAAACTTGTTAAAGTTTTTTTTTTTTTTTTTTTTCTTATTTCTGTTTTACAGATGGGAGCACTGTGAAACCAAAAAGTTAAATAAGTTGCTTGAGGCCATACAGCTAATGAATGGGATTTGAAACCAGGTCAACTGCATATCAGAGGGCATCTGCCTTGCCTAGGAAGTTTTATTTCATTAGTCTGCCTGCCTTCAAACTACTGCCCTTTGAACTAGTCTACTTGCTGTTGCTAGTTGGATCCTTCCTTAATGTTAGTATTCAGAAGCCTTGAATGGCTTTTTCTTACCTATAGTATGAAGGCCAAAGTCAATAGCCTGATTTTTAAGTACTTAAAATTTGGTACTCAAGTACCATTTAAACACGATCTCCTAATATTTCCCAAGTTGAGTAGTGTATCTCATATCTGCCAATCCCTTCCTCTCAATCAATTGAAATTCTCCTCAATTTTTTTTTTTTTTGGGAAATTGGAAGGGGAGAGGGGACAGCCAAACTCAGAGCTTATATATTTTAATTCTTCTCTTATATTTCCACTCTTTCTTTATGGTCTACTTTTTACCATATTCCCATTTATTCTATTTGATTCTATGTGCTGTGCTATTTTTTTTGCCCCCGTTCCCATATATTTTGAGTTAAAAAATTTTTTTTTCTTTATTGCTTTTTAGAGAGAGAAAAAGGGAGAGGGAGAGAGAGATGGAAACATCAATGAAAGAGAACATTGATTGGCCACCTCCTGCACGCCCCTCCACTGGGGATTTGGCCCACAACCTGGGCATGTATCCTGACCAGGAATCAAACTGGCAACCTCTTGGTGCATGGGTCAATGCTCAACCACTGAGCCACATTGGCCAGGCTATTTTGAGTTATTTATATATATGATGATATATAAGATATGCACATATATATTATGTGTGGGAGGGCTGGAAGCAAGATATTTTATTTTCCCTTACATCTTCAGCAGGACTTAGCACAGTGCCTTCTATATTACAGTTGCCTATTAAACATTCCTGAATGAGGTATTTTATTGGATAAAAAAAAATTAGGTATTGTGCTCACTTTGGCAGCACATACACTAACATTGGAATGATACAGAGAAGAGTAGCAGAGCCCCTGTGCAAGGGTAACATGCAAATCTGTGAAGCATTCCATATTAAAGAAAAATTAAATATTAAAATTGAATGATAAGAAAAATAGCATTATATCCTGCTATTTAAAGTGGTCCTATTTAGTTGGAAAATTATGTCAGTCTGGAGTCTTGCTAAAATCAAATCTGAAGAAAACAGAAATTTTTCTTTACTTGCTCTAGTCCCAGAAGGCCACCACAGTATTTCAAAGCCAAACACTTATGAATTTCTTCTTAACCATCATTGCTATAGGCCCAGGGAAAATCAAGACAGATGTCTGTGGTCATGGAAGATCACAGCTCATAAATTTGATAAACTAAAATGGTAGCCAACTGCAATTTTGTGGGGCAGGTCTGGGAAGGTTCTTTCAGATTTGGAGCATAAAATATTATGTAATTCTCATGCTTATCATCGGAGAACAAGCTGATTCAATTACCTGGCCCAAAGATAGACACTTAGATGTGCTGTAAGAGTAATGGGGAGGATTCGTAGTCATGAAAAAGTAATTAATTTCTTAATGGAAACTGAGGACTTAAAAAATTGCTGTTTGTGGGATTGGGATTTTTGTCTGTGGATCTGTTTACTTCTCAAAATGTAATTTATCTTTAAAGACACAAAAGAGTCAATCACTAGTATGGATATTTTTCTGTTTCTCTTTTTCCTTAAGCTTCTCCTTTGAGCTCTTTCTCATCTCTCTTATTTTAGAAAAAAAAAAAAAATCATATCCTGTTAGGAATACCCTTTGCCCCAATACATACTAGTTTCATTTATCCCATTAAATATACTACAACCATACTTTCATTTATCTAGGTCACCTTCTGGCTATATATTCATTCAATTTACCAAAAGTAAAACGCAGTAAGACATGTTGATTAGTGATAGGTAATTGATGTTGGTTCTCTGCCCAGACCCTGATTAAAGTTCTCATCATCTACAGGAGATGGGGGGAGGGGACTGTGTAGAAAGAGATGGGTGAGTTCAGTTGAAGAAATAGGAGGGGACTCTTTCCTTAGTAAGTGTGGAGGCTGGGTCCTCAGATTTCCAGTGTTCTTCCATTACTACCTGGATTGGTGCCAAAATGGCAGAAGAGTATGCTTATAATTATTGTTGCTCTCCTGGAAATCTCAGCCAGCCAGAGGAGCAAGAGTTAATATTTAAGGCAGAGCAGATAACTATGAGGTGGGACCAAGCCACAGTCATGGGACTGCATGGGTTTGTACTGCACACTCTGTAGCTCCCAGCTAGCAAACTGCATGGACTTTCTGTTCATCTTGCAACAATGTAACCAGGCATTTAATGTAATAGGGTTCACATCACTCTTTTAAAGTGCTTTACTCAGCTCCTACTGTATGCCAAGCACTGTCCTATGTGCTAGAGGTACCCACTGGTGAATTAGGTAGACATAGACCATTCTTTCTACTGAATAGTTTAGTAGAAAGAGTAATCACCACTCTTCTCTTAACTAATTTCTCTATATTTTCTATCAAGGAGAATAAAAATATTTACTCCTAATCAAAGTTTATTTGGTCTGCATTACGATAATCAAGCAGGCATAAAACCCTAATAGTTGAGTGGGGTGATTTAACAGTAATAACAACTATAATAAAATACCAAAGAACTTTGGTATTTATGACACTTTCACCTATCTGATCCCCTTTAACCTCCCTGAGTCTCTGCTTTCTCATCTGGAAAATCAGGCATAACAGTACCTATCTTGCATGGATAGATATAGACAGCCAGGCTGGGGTTGCGCCTGCCAATTGTGAAGGTCTGCATTTTATAGATGCTGAACCTGAAGCTCAGAGAGGATATGTGAATTGTCTGTAACTGGATATAAAGTGAAAGGAAAAAAACGGGGCTCTAAAGTCTATGGTTTTTCTATCCCATGTCAGATGTTGCTCAAGCCACCCATCAATCAGGAGCCAGGAGTATCCCCTCAGAACGTCTTCAGATGTAGAAGTTCTGGAAAAGCTGATCACTTTTTTTTCTTTTTGGTAGCCTATAGGATAATAGTGCAACCAAACAGGAAAGAAATAGAGAGGAGAAACAGGGAACATTACTTTAAGATAATAATAAAATTCCTCCACAAGCTGCCCACCCAGAAATATCAATTTTGTGCATGTCCTTCTAGTCATTATTTCAGAATGCATTCTATTGCCAGGTTGTTCTTGTTTCCTTAAGCCCTAGTCATTTGTTCCACATAATATAGAGCAGAAACTGACCTTTGAGACAATCTAGTCAACCCCCCCTTGGTATTCAGATGAGGAATTCACATAGAGAAAGACTAAGGCAAAGTCCTAAGAAGAGAAAACAATTAATAATTTAATAACTAATTTTCTACAAGTAATTTTGTTTGCTTGCACAATGAACATTCTACAGCCTGACTATAGGATAATAATTGAAAATTTTCCCGAGTTTAAATTTAGACAAGATTTGGATATGTTACATCATTGTTTTAGGCCCCACAGAGCTTTTGCATGGCTTGAGATATGGTAGGCTCTCAAAAATGACTTGCTGTGTGAATAAAATATATATTCATTCACACAGATGTTGCCATTTGTGGAAATGGTAATGACATGAACTAATAAAGGAAAGAGAAAGGTAGCGATCAATACTGTATACAGTCTGATCCCTGTTGTGTATGGAAAATAAGTTGCCCACATTTAGGAGTTCCAGTTACAGGTGAAGGTGTGGTGGTCAAATATGTTCATTGTTTTACTATAGAACAGCCCATGTACTAGACTGGTCACTATTTTTCAAATACCAATTACATAGAATCCTGGTGCAGTAATAGCTAACACTGAGAACTAACTTCCATCCATGATTATAAGCACTCTACACTATTAAATTATTAAATCCTCATCAGAGCCCTATGAGAAAGGTGATAATGCCATCCCATTTTACAGGTGAGGAAAGTGGAGCTTAGAAATATTAAGTAAACTGCTCAAGGACACTCAGCTATAATGCAGAGGATCCAGATTTTGAACCCAAGCAGTCTGGTTTCAGAGTCTATGCTCTTAAGCACTTAGTTGCGTGATGTGCTAGAAGCTTTGATGTAGAAGGAAAGTTGGGGATTCTGTGGTATAATCAACCTCATTCTACAGGTGAGACATCCAAGGCCCAGGGAAGGTCAGGGATTTGCTCATGGTCACAATTATTTTGGCAGAGCCTGAACCATGACAGCTTGTGCTCTGTGTGCAAGATTGAATTAATTGGAGACAGGTTACAGTGACAGTAGCCTGAAGGTGCCTTGTACTTTTATTATATCTGCCACTCATAAACCGGTCTTGAAAAGCTGGAAGAATGGGGTGGCCCACACAAGTTTCCAAGCTTTCTTTTCTCATGTGAGGCACTTCAGTAATTCTGTGAATGGAAACGTCATTCTTGCTTGCTCTGGTTAAGTGACAGATTGCTTTGAGGTGTACAGTAGCATCAGTTCATTGGCTACTCACATTTCTAGGCTGAGGAAAGACAACCCCAAAGAAAAACTGAGTGGTGCCTTCGTGCCAGGGGTATTAGTGAAAGATGCAGGACATTGATCAGGTGCTCTTATTTCTCTCTCTGGTATCTGGGCAGTGCCCTCCACCTCTTGTCGCTCCAGAAGGAAAGCTGCTCACAATATTCCCAGGAGGAACAAGAGTCTACAACCTTCCTCTTCATTGCTGACAAAATAATAAGAAAGACGGGAAGGGAATATTTGGTGTTATTTCATCCTTTTAACTAGAAAATCTCCTCTGATAAATACCTGGAGGCTAAGAGGGACGTGCACATCAAAAAGAATTTGGCTAACCTGCAATGTCATATTTCATGGGGAGTTGAACAGGGCAATTTATCGCAATTGACCCTATCAGAGAAGGACCAACCATCCTTAGTAGACCTGGATGCCACCACATTTGGCCATAAAATTTATCATGTCAAGAGATCTATAGTCAACACTATGTACTGTGAAATATGGCAGTGCTGCTGGGAGATTTGTCTTTGTTGGGTCTGACAGATTAGCCTTGCATTTCCACTTAGTCCACTTTTGCACCCCAGCGCCATCTATAATGACCCATCAGGGCAATCTGCTTGGGAACAAGAGTTGCAGCTCCAATAAGCTAGGATGGGTGTGTGAAAGCCTCTACATATGCACCTATTTTGGGAGCACTCTGGCAAAATGCTGAAAAATTATTTGGCAACTTTCTTCTTTGATAGTTATTTTAAGAAAAAGTAACATTAGAAGGGAATTTAGGCTTTTGATAAATTAACATCATGTGAGGCACCTATGTTTAACACAAATTGTTATTTTTTTCTCATTCACAGAAAAGCAAAGGGACAGGTGGGGCAGAATATCTTTCTTATTTCTAGTCCCTCCTTGGGCAGGACTGTGAGGGTGGCAAGGCTGGTTATCAAAGTTTCTTCCTCCCAGCTCTCTGTTCTCACGGGCTTGTGTTCTTTGCACTTATTGTTCTTGGAATCTCTGCATATGTACCTTTTCCTAAATTCTGTTGAATGCACATTCATTTGCACCAGCAAGTTGTCAGAGATGGATTTGGCTTCATATCCCTGGACTATTGGATTGCTATCCAGTCTCCAGGATGTATGCTGGTTGACCTTGGGCAAATCCTGAAACATCTGAGTCTCAGATCTGTGTTTGGAAAAATAAAAGCAAGTCTCACTCAGAATTGGTATAAAGAGTAAATAGACTTTTATACATATCTATATCTATACTTTTATAAATTGAAGCATAATAAAAATGCCTTTTCTTTTATTTGTAGAGGCAGCAAAAGAGAACTGGATGTTAAAATTCTAGTTTTCCAATTACTAGTTGTGTGATCTTAGGCAAATAATTTAGTTTCCCCGAGTCTCAATCTTTTATCTGTTAAAATAATGAGAATAACTGTTGTAAAGATTTAATTAGATACATGTGATGTTCTTTGAAAATTCTAAAAGTAGTATACACATGTTTGTTTTTTTTTAAATGTATGCCTCATCTTGTTAGAGAAAGCATATTCATACTACAAAGAGACTTCCATTTGAACCCAGGTAATT